TGCCCGTTCTTGTGCTCTTCTCACCTGCCAGATACAGTGTTGGTAACTCTCTGGCAGGTAAAGATGGTCTGTGTTGTTCCCTGTGTTCTCACAACGGATACCTGGTTCTTGCCAGGTGCTAAAGATGGAGCATTTGCTTCTAGCCTACGTCTTCCTGCATCCGTGTGTAGTACGACCTGGTGCTGATTTTCCCTCCCTTGACTGTGTAGAGGGTGAAGAGAAGGAAGCTTCAGGTCAGGGTCCATCCTTTGCTCCTGTAGATGTGGCTGAAGGAAACAAATTCTAACCTGACCTGGTCTATGCTTATGCCCAGGAATTGGACTCCCAGGGCAGAGCCACAGTCTGCATGACTCCCTGTAGGAGAGGTCTCCCTTGATAGATACCACCAAGCTTAAAACAGAGACAAAGTTAGTGTTAGTGCACCCTAATATCTACACCATCTAGGACTTGCTAGAGCTCAGAAAAAGACTGGACCTGTGGAACAATACCTGCAGGATCTCCAAGACTTGGGGTGGTCCCAAGATATCCCAGAGGAGATTCAGGGAGGATCCCAATGATGATGATGGATCAGAAACCCGGGGACTTGAACCAGACCAGTGGCTTATGGAGGTGAACATTTGCTAGTAAAGCTGACAGAACCAAAGGCTCTACTGTATGATGCACTGAGGCCCCTGGAGGCAACAGAATAAAAGAAAGAAGAGGCGTTCAAGAGGTGGGAAAAAAAGGAGAAGCAAAGGGGTTTTCTGTTCTTGTTTTCGGTTTTGCTTTGTTTTGTTTTTGTTTATTTGCTTGCTTACTTTCTTTGTTGTTTTCTTGGAAGATGCACTGGAGGAGTAAGGGAGGATATGGCGGGACCAGGAGTGGAAAGGGGGTGCATAAGGTGAAACTCCCAAAGAATCAATAAAGAAGTTAAATTTGCCAGAGGGGGGGAAACAGAGACAAAGCCCAAGTCCAAGTGTCAAAAGTCTCAGGCTCTCCTGTTGTGGCCACCCACCAGGTTTAGGGTAGCCACTAACCCAGTGATGAGAAGAGACACCCACAGCAGGATTCAACCAGTCTAGAAGTTGAGGCTTGGATCCAAGAAAGAGTTGATGTAGCGGATTAAATGAAGGCAGACAGAAATTGTAATAATATATGCAGCTTTAATTGGGAAAGAGACTTACAGAACCAGAGGTTCCAGCGGAGAACAGGAAAGCAGAAGGGGCGGGGGAGAGTACACCAGCAATATTTTTTAGTAAAAAATATCCTCAGGTGACCCCGCCCTACAAGCAAGGTGATTGGCTGGTGCTACCCCTACAAGTTGAGTCCGTTCTTATGCAGTCAAGATACCACGCATGCACCTTGCCTGCCTCCCAACCCATGGCAGGAAATTGACCCTCATCATCTGAGACCTCATGGGAAGGTTTGTTACTCAGCATTACTGCGGCATTGCTGGCTCATACATGTGGGTCTCAGTTTAGCTGTCAATAAGTGCTGAATTTCCCTAAAAAATGGCCCTATTGTATTAAATATCTTCTGATCTAGAGACAGAACGCAACAAAGGACTCCAAATGGCCCCGTGCAAATGACACCAGCACTCAAGCTCCAAGTGCCCAGCTTCAGGGTGGCCAGAACACAGGGTAGCCAGAAGTGCTTTTGTTTGAGAGACCCACAAAGGCGCTTACCTCCCAACTTTGTGCACTATGTAACAGCTATTGCTTCTGTTTACCATGAATCTGAAGCTATCTTGCCCATGTGACAATCCAGCACATTCCACAGAAGAGAATACTCAACTTTCAAAGACAATTTGTTGACAGATATAGGCTTCAAATTGACCCCCATGGGAAGCTCCATCTTCAACCACGTGGGTGCCCTCTACACATCACAGATAGTCGGCTCCTTCCTCGTACTAAAATAATTAAAATACTTTTGTTCTCCAGGTTGTATTCTATCCAAAGTGGTCTCTTCATTAAAAGACACTAATATTTTTCTGTTCTGTTACCCACTATTTTCATCTTCTGTATTTACTCTACTCTTCTTGTCTGCTGTCAATATTTCTCAATTAATCCCATTTTTGTTCTTTTGTTATGATGGCTTATAATCTTTTTTTTTTTTTTTTTTGGTCTTAAAACAAGCTTTGAACATAAGAACCTAGAAGTGCTTTCTGCAAGTGGAAGGGCTCTGTCGGCTCACACGCTCGTAGGTGGATGTGTGCTTTTCCATGTTTAAATTTTTCAGTATGATTGTTTACGAACAGGATCTTTTGTTCCTTCAGGGTTGGTCTAGTCTAAGCACCCATTCTTCATAGGAAACGATAATCCTCAAATAGCATAATCATCACCATAGCAACCTGAGGCGACATCACTGGCAGGATTAGGGCTTCAAGAGCCTGAATCTGCATCCTTCTCCTGCTCTTTACACACCAGGCATCTCTGCTGACGGCACTCCACAGCCCTGCATGTCAGGAGGCACACAAGGGCAGCTGAGTGGCTCCCAAGCTGAGCACAAAAAGCCGGAAATATGCTGGCACAGTCTGAGTCTATGAGAGGCCTCAGCATAGCCATGGTCATCCGTGCACACTCATATACATGCACACACAGGGTACACAGGGAGTGAGAACATAATACACACACACACACACGGATACACACGCACACACACATACACACACAGAGCTCTTACTGAGTCAACATTCCTTGAGCCATAAGCACCACCCCAGTTCCCTCTGGGTCAATCTGTCCAACAAATGTGTTTAAGAAATCAGGTGGGGATGGGTGGGTTTCCAAAGAGAGATGGAACAGACCTTCAGTCAAGACAGTTCTGAGCTGTAGAATTGCCTTTTGAGTCCAAGGGCTCAATATTAAGGGACGAGAGACAGCTACATAAGTGTAAGGACCTGAATTCTTATCTTGAACATTCTTGTTCAAAAGCCCAAAGACCAGACGTAGCTATGCATACCTGGACTCTCAGTTCTGAGGAGGTGGAGTCAGGAGGATCCTTGGGTTTTGCTGGCCAGCTGGCCTAGTTGTTGAGCCCAAGGTTCAGTGAAAAACACCACCTTAAAGAATAAAAGCAACTCAGAAAGACATGTGTCACGAATCTCTAGGCTCTACGTAGATGTATGCACACATTTACCTGTACAGCTGCACACACACATGTGCGTATGCACACATGAACATTCATGCACACACATGTGTGCATATACACAGATGAACATGCACACACACACACACACACACACACACACACACTAATATCTTTTAAAAAGTCCAGTAGCAGGCATTGTGGTGACCAAGTTTCCCCTTCTGTGGCTGTCTTTGGCTTCTTAACACACTGCAGTTACAGACACAGTAAAGAAAAGGCTACTCCACGCTTTATTTTATTCCAAGTAAATGACATTGATGTATCCGTAAGCCAGTAATCCTGGAGACCAAAAGCTGCAGAAGGACACACAGACAGGAAGGAGTCCCTCCACCGGGCCCCTTCCAGCACCCAAGCTCTGGACACACAGCAGTGAAAGCCAGGCAGATACAGTTCAGCTTCGCAAAAGCCGGGCATCAGCCTACCAAAAGGCAAGAATGGCCGGCACACCAGTTTGGCAAAAAGCAGTGGTTTTCATATTCCTAAATACATTCCCCTGCCCTTTAAGGTTCCCGTCATCTGAGTTCTTCAAGGAGTTATAATCCTCTCTTTCATCCAGCATAGTCTTTGCCCCAAATTCTCTTACCGGACACAGCAAGAGACCCCTAACTTCCTGAGGTCATGCAGTAACTTTCCAAACCTAAGACAAACTAAGATGTGCCCAAGCAAGCAGATGCCAGTCGCCAGCTAGAGAAGACCTTGTACCTCCTACTTGTATGTGACCCACCAATAAACTTTAAATGTACCTTATGCTGAAAATGGGCCACAACAATTTGGTACTTACATTGGGACTGGGCAGAAAAGCTTCCTTGCTTCTGCCTGCTCAGCGATTGCTAGCAACCGATTTTCTCTGTTCCTTCACCAAATTCAAACACTATAATCAGGTCTGACTCAACACAGGAATCCCCAAAGACTTTAAAACATGCAAAATAGAAATAAATTAATTACTCCATCAGCATTTTATGGTGCATATATAATTTTTATTCAAACATTTCATCTCATAAGGCAAGTTTTCCATGCAGAGAACACTTGATTTCATCAGAAGAAATTGCTGCCTTTACATGAAAGAAAACACAATCCGGGTATCCCCAGAGTAAAATGAAGAGGAAGGAAACACTTCCAGCCAGCTGACTCTAACAATGGTCCCCACAAAAGCTCTCCATCCAAGGACAGTGTTCAAGTCCCAAAATGATTGTTGGGGTCAAGGCAAGGGCCAGCCCAAATGCATAGTCCCCACAGCGAGCCTCAAGAAAGTGTGCCAAAAGGGAGGGGGTCCCAGGAGGCCCAGAGGCCAGGCTAGCTCTGAGCAGAGCCCTCTCATCCTGTCTCACCCGACTCCTTGAGGCTCTATACTTTCTGTGTGTACATGTGCATGTGTCTATTTTATGTTCGTGTGTGTGCAGTTGCATGTGGAGGTCAAAGGTCAATCCTGTCATTCCCCAGATGCTGTCCACCTTGTTTCCTTAAAAAGTCTCTCACTGGTATGAAGCAAGCCACAAAGGCTAAGCCAGCTGGTCAGGAAGCCTCAAGCAGGCTCTTATCTCTGCCCTCCCAGTGCTGAGGTTACAGGCACATGTCACGAAGGATGACCAGGCATGTCACTGTAACTTTCCTCTTAACTTTCTATTTCACATGTGTATATAACAGACTTTGGCCATTTTCACTTCTCATGACCCTCTCTTGACCCCCCTTCTTTCTCCCATGGGAACCTCTCATCTTCCCAGGAAGCCTCTCCTCCTCTCCTGTGTTTTTGTGAGTATGTGGTCCTGTGAGTCTAATTCCTGTGCTCACAGCAGCACGGCTCGGGGGTGTTGACCCAGCTTTTCACATGACTTCTGGGGAACTGAACTGAGTTGCCTCCCAGACTGATTCTGCCATCTTCATGTGACTCTCTACTGCTTCCTTCTCGGCTGAGCCGTTCCTGGGGGAGGCAGACTGCCCATGTAGATCAGTTGTTCTGGCCCTGAGTGAAGGAAATAGGGCAATTAGCATCATGGCGGTGGGCAGAATTAATCATGTGTGCTCGTTTTTACTCATGTTTTTCCCCAGAGGCAGCACAGGAGCATTGATTAGTGCAGAGACTGTCTGCACCACAAACACTCAATTATTCCAGTGTTTACTCCTGTGAACGCAGCAGAAGAATGTGGGCATCCAACAGGCACGCTCTGCAAAGATCAGAAACAAGGTTTCTGTGGATCCATGAGTCCGTGGACCATGGTCATGACCACGTATAAATTCAGTGCACAATCTCTCTTAGGTGTTCTCTCTCGAGCGTTGTGGTCTTCTCTCCAGTTAGTCATCATGTTAGTGCTGTTGATTGAAACAAGGTCTGTAGTAGGCTGGTCTTGAACTTAGGGTCCCCTGCTTCAAACCCCTGAGAACTGGGGTTACATCTGTGTATTACATAACTTCACGTAGTCACCTTAAGTCTAGCATTGTTGTGTCTCTTCTTTGTCCCTGACTCGGACAGTCCCTCAGGTCAGAATAAAGGGAATAACTAAGCTCTGAGGTCCCAGGTCTTCAAACTCAGAGTCCTCTCTCCCGTGGCCATCCTGGAGAAGTGTACACATGACTGATTAAAAAGCTCCCTAACTCCCACCCCCATCCTCGGCTCCAACGCCTCACATCTCCTCCACTGCTTCTGGCCTCAAGCAAGGGACATGCTTCGGCCAATGGATAGACCAGAAAAGATGGCCCCTCATTTCCCTTCAGTCCTTGCATCTTTAAAGAACCTACTCAGGGAACCTGCCAGAAACAAGCATGGAGATGACTGGAGAGCAGAGACTACTCATAACAGGATGTAGGAGATAGTGATGCCTGTAGCGAGTACAGACCAGAGTACCTGCTCCTTCACAGAGTCACCCGTGTGAGAAGGCAGGGGCTCTCCTCCTAAGAGGGAAACCAGAGCAGCCCTCCCTTCTGAATCACTGAGTTTGCAGATCCCAGCACAGTAAAAGTAAATAGGATAAATCAATATTTGCTGGTGAAGAAATTAAAAAAGTCCAGCTAGGGAGTTTTCCGAGCGAGGTCGCCCTGGTGGGAACTGGTTCACTCCCATCAGTGCTGCTGGGGTTGGCGTGGGGTTGGTGGCCTCTGGGAACCACGTGGGCAGTTTTCCAGACCATCAGAAACGCTTGAGCCTCAGTCTGCAGAAATGAAAGCCGCTGTAGGTGGTCCTGGGTCCCACTTCCCCTTTACCACTCCAGGCATAGCCCACACATGATTCCAGCCAGTTCCTCTTTAATCCTCTTCGTGGGACACCATTTACCCAGGGCAGTAGGTCCTGCTCCCAGGAGATTGCCCACCACAGCCTCCTCTGAGCGGCTACTCCCATCTTCCTATCTACACCTTCAGTTGCACAGGGCCCTGTCGTCCCTGCCACCTGTCACAGACATTACTAACTGCCAGGGTAACCCATGAGCCGAGCCACCTAGGTAAAGTTTGGAGCAGGAATTTCCCAAGTCAGTCTATACTCAGCGTCTCCACAGTTCCAGCAGGCCCAAGCATAGGCAGGTTCTGGTAGCAGGCTGGCCCACCCAGACTTCCAACCTCCTTCAGAGATACAGACAGCACTTCGGGACCACTGAGCAAAAGCAATAGCAGTGTGGGGAGAGCGACTTATTGGAAGCCGAGGACAATAAGGAAGGCTATTCCCTTCAGCCTAGCTAATGAAGCATCGTACTCTTGTCTTCTTTTGCCCGACAGAAAAGCATCAGTGGTGAGTGAGCCTGAGCCCAGGATAGACTCTGGGTTGAAGCAGAGCACCATATAGACCAGGAGTGGCAACCAGTGGCTTCATCCTTTATGCACTAACACTTAAAAACCTGAGGACTCTACTCTTGACCACAGGCCAGGATCCAAGGCCATCTTAGTCATGGGAGTATCCTGAAACACTTGACCCAGGGACCAGGGACTTTAAAAACGACCCCAGACTAGACAGCTTCCCCCTTCTAGAAGGTTCAAGATTCAAGCTACGTCACCAAACGACAGAAACCCGTGAGTGGGAAACTGTCACACACCACCGATGTGTGACACCAACAAAACACAGGCAGGACTGGGTATAGGAGATCTGCCTGGGAGATGCCTCCTGCTCCGTGGGGCTTTGTGGCCACTGATAACCCATGGCTCGCACTGGCCTCAAGCTCACTGGCTTTCTGCTCCCATGACCTGGATTTCATGCCCCAAGTCTGGCGAACCCACCTGAGTCAGGGCCATTTGTCTCCACACAAAGAGACAGCAGAATCCCACTACATACATGCTCACGTGGGGCTCTGGGGTTTATTAGAAATGATTTTTCTCACATTGCACATGCTTTCTGAAGTGGGAGAGCTACCTGCTCCCATTTCACAGGCGAGAAACAGCAATCAGAGGCGGAAAATATTCCTTGAACACTGGGAATGACAACCACAGCACAGTGGCTCCCTCACAGGACGGCAATGCCCACCATTTATTTCTGTTACCTGACATGGTGAACAATGCTTATCCCCTCCAGCTTCTGCAGACATGAACCCCAGAGTCAAGACGGCTGTGATTATACATTTTAGAAATTTCTTTCTTTGCCCCATTCTGGCTCAACTACCTGTCAAAAGACATAGATAGACATCAACAAGGCCTGGGTACCAACCACATCCCTGCTAGCTGGGGAGGGCACTGGAGTCCCCTGCTCCTGACTGGCCTACAGATGCAGCGCTGGGGCTCAGTCCTGGAGGTTTGGACCAAACCCAGAGGACAGATTTCCTTGAGCCTATCCACCCAAGGAATGGCCTTCCACAGCCCACTCACCCAAAGGAAGACTTTCCACAGCCCACCCACCCAGGGGAAGACTTTCCACAGCATCTACTCAGAGAAAGACTTTATGTAGGAAACCACCCAGAGGAAGACCTTCCCCAACCCATCCATCCAGAGAAGTCAGACCTTCCTCACTCCACCCACCCAGAGGAGGGTCTTCCTCTACCCACTGGCCCCAAGGCAGGCTATGGCTAAATTGGGGTTGTACCCACAGTCACCATGAACTCAGTTGGGGCACTTTGTGACATCCTTCAGAAATTTGGTTCTTTGTTTGAGCATGCCACTCCCTGATAATGTCCCCACAGTGCTCAGAACTGAATCAAAGCCTTGGGCCTGCCTTCTAGTCCCAGAGGCATGCTGGCTCCCTAGGCTGCAGCTGGCCCTCACACGGCTACGTGACACACAACACACATGCCTCTGTGTTGCTGTCCCGGCATGCTTGGTGCTTCCTCTATCCTTAAAGTTTTTCTTGCCCCAATCCCTTGGGAAGCTTCTCCTAATAATATATCTGGGGGCCTCTGTCTCGCTGGTACCCCAGGCTAACACCCTACTGGGCCTTTCTGGGGGCATCATTGTGGTTTTATTTAATGTCAATTTCCTCAGCTTGACTCTCAAGTGAAGGTTTTTCTGTGTGTCCCGGGAGCCTAGAATTATGTCTGGGAGTTACTAGTTCTAAACACCATGGCTTTGCTGGAGTACATGGGAAGGTTCTGGTTGTAAAGGCTTTGCTGTAGTACGTGGGAAGGTTCTGGATGTAAAGGCTTTGCTGGAGTACGTGGGAAGGCTCTGGATGTAAAGGCTTTGCTGGAGTACGTGGGAAGGCTCTGGATGTAAAGGGCTGCATGTTTTCATAACATAAATTAATGCTAATTTGTGCTAAGAAAATATGTATAACCCTGAAAAGATGCGGATAAAGGCCACGTCCCCATTTGAAGGTCTGAGTGGAGAAACAACAAGCCATGATTTTATGTTTCTTTGGGGATAAAAATAATAACATTGCAGTAATTCAGCAGCCCCCGCTTGCCAGTACCTGCTAGGAAAGACGTTCCCATGGGGCCCATGGAGCTTGAGCTACCCGGGAAGTTCTTGGTGGGGTCTGTCTTGTTATAGAATGCAGTGCTTAGAGAGATACAAATGGTTGGGTATTTCTTCATCTCTCGTCTTCCAGGGTGGGCAGTGACATAAACAATACCCCTTGCCTCCCAGCTGTAACTATGGAGGGGCTTCCGGTATGCCCTAATCTGTCCAAGGCACTGGAACATTTGGACTGAAGCAATTTGATCAGCAGAAGTAAGAGTCGGGTAAACAGCTGCTGAATGCCTGCTGTCAGGCTTTCTCGGGGCAGCGGGACAGCCCTTGTTGGTACAGGTCTGCCCTGCCATTCCTTGGAAAGAAGCAAGACTAGGCCACATCCAGAAGACTGGGAAGCAAGCCCATGATACCACAGGGGCTCCAAAGATTAGGGTTTTCCATGTTTGCTAATGGCGTTCATTCTTTATTTTTGTCAGAAATGGAGAGATGACTTGGTTCCTGGAGGTGCAGACCAGGAAACTGGGGCGGGGAAGACAGAAGAATCTTAAGGCCTATCTGGGCTAAAGAGTGAATTTAGGTCCAACCTGGGCAACTTATCAAGATTCTGTCTCAAAATAAAAAAATGAGAGAGGGCCGAGACAGGCTGGAGCTGAAGCTGGGGCTCAGTGATAGAATTCGTCTCTGGCCACGTGTGTATGAGGCTCAGCGTTAATTCTAACACACACACACAAAAAAAGTGTGAACAATACCTCCACAGAATAGAGTGTATAAACGTCAATAGTGAATCACGAGAGCCTTGCTCTGCACCCCTGCACCACCCCCGATCAGACCAGACTTCCCCCACCCACCTCCAAGTGCTCCTGTTGCTGTTTTGTGGAATGAGGGAGCAAACCTGGAGCCTGATGCATGCACACTCGTGGCTGCACTGTTTTGTTCTTGGGGACCTGGCTTACCTCATTTCACAGTGCATGGCTTTTGAAAAGGTAATTGATGCTCTGTGGGTTTTTGTTTTTGACTCCGGCATGTGGAGCTGGCGAAAATAAGAAGGGCAATGAACAAGTGGCTACAGTCAGACGGAAGGACTGTTCCAGAAGAGAGAACCTGGTGACTGAGATCGAAACGCATGGCGTGTGTGATCAGGAC